TAGCTATTAATTCCTTTTAAAAGCTAGCTTATTTATATTAAATGTAAATGCTGTCTCACTAGGTTGTCTCCCATCTATTTTTCATTCTTAAGTTAACATTGGCTTATAACACTAAGCAAGTTTTAGGTACATAGTATTATACTTGACATCTGTGTATAAATTAAACTATGCTAACCACTGGGAGTCTAGTTTTCTCCATAACCAGATGTGTGAATCCTTTTACTCCCCTACCCACTTCCCCCTTTACCTCTGGTAATCACCATTCTGTCCTCACTATGCAAGAGGTTATGTTTATTTTTTGTCCTGTTTCTTTGTTTTTTTTTTAGATTAAACATATGAGTTAAATCATATAGTATTTGTCTTTCTCCTTGTGACATATTTTCCTTAGCATAATTCCATCTAGTTTTATCCTTGTTGCCACAAATTGCAGAATTCCACTCCTTTACATAGCTGAATAGTATTCCACTGTATCTATGCCACATGTTTACCTACCCCTCCATCTATGGGAACTTAGGTTGTTGCCATCTATAGGCTATTGCAAATAATACTGCCCTGAACATAGTGTTACATATGTCTTTCAAAAGAATGTCTTTAGAATCTTCAAATAACTCCCTAGAAGTGCAATAGATGATCACATGGTATTTCTATTTTTAATTTTTTTTTAGAAAGGCATCCCTTTCAACTTGAATAATCCCTGCTCACCTAGGGCAGCAGTCTATAACCAAAGACTTGACTATTTCTACATTCAATAATATTAAATTCATTAAATTCCACTAGGAACAACAGAAAACACAAAGAGCATTTATATACAATATATAATATATATTCAGGTTTGATATCACCACCAAGTAATTTTTAGAGACTTTTTAAAATTTTGGAGTTGGAACTAAGGGACTGAGGATATACATACCTTTATCCTTGGCAATTCTGCCACTAAAAAACAACTGTTTATTTAAACTACCCCTAATGACTACTTCCAAACATTTTCACTCTTACTATAATGTTTTCCTGTTTAACAACCAACCTACTGATAGTAGAGAGAACCATTAACCCCAATTATTTTATCATCACCTACATTATGCACAAGATACAATTCTTCCTTTCACTACAAAGTTCTAAATTAAACACAGATCATTCAGTTTTCACTTGTTTTTCTCTTCCAACATCTTTACTGACTTATTTAGGAATTGTGTGAATGTGTGTGTGAGAGAGAGAGAGAGAGAGAGCAAGAGGGAGGGAGGAAATAGAAATGGTCATATCACAAAAAATGTCAAGGAAGACGATGTTGTCATAGACAATCAGGGTCTTTACACTGTAAAATGAGTTAAGGAGAGTCATCCTGCTAAAGTTTTTTTGCAACAACGTTTTTGCAGATGCTTCTTTCTCTTCACTTTCACTGTAGATTTTGTTAGGGAATTAAGAGATTGACATGTCAGATAGATTTACACTTTTACAGCATCTTATTTCCAGAACACATCACCTCACAACGTGTTCCCTTGTGGCACATTTCTAGGTCATTGAATTAAAATTAAGAGAGGTATAGTTGATGATTATTGCTAATTACCCAGAGCGTTTGTCAAAGGCAATAAACAGAGACATAAGCTCCATTTTGCTACTATATGATTGTCAAGTTTACAGCACATCTCTGCTAGCACAGAAAACTTCCCCAACAAGGATATTTAGTTGATCAGAGCAAAGAAGGTTGAACAAATAGCCTTCCTATCAGAATAAACTCACAGGGAAGAAAATGTGGTGGCGATCAAATTGGTGTATTTAATGTCTTCAATACAAGAAACATACGCAAAATCTCAGCTTTATTTTCCCATTATTGGGACTTGAAAGACATCTTTTCCAAATAGCTCATCATGAAATGTAAGTACCATAAACAGACTGTTTATCTGCTTATCTACTGTGAACCTTCAGAGGAGTCTAAATCATTATAATACCTATATTTCTTTATCGGAAAGACTGGCAAGCTACCGAGAGTATTCTGCCCGCACGGAAGAGCCTGGCAAGCTATCCGTTGTGTATTCGATATGCCAAAACCAGTAACTACAACTGGTCTCATTCACCTATTCAGGTCTCCCAAAGAAGAATAGAAAGAGCTATGCTTGGAATATCACGTTTCACTCAAATGAGAGAAAGAATCCGGAGTTCTGACATCTGTCGACGATCAAGAATCAGGGACGCTGTCTCATTTGCCAAAGTGTCGAAAATCAGATGGGCTGGTCACGTAATAAGATTTAAAGACGACCGCTGGACTAGAGCTGTTACCGACTGGATTCCACGAGATGTCAAAAGACCGCGTGGCCGCCCACCTACCAGATGGTCAGACTTCTTCATCAAGATCATGAACGATCGGTTTGAGGCCCTTCATGTTCCCAGAGCGAACAGATGCCATTGGGCTACACTAGCACGCGACAGGGACAAATGGAGACGTTACTGGTGCCCGCTCGAGCAAATCGCCGACTAACGGGAAGTTAAGTGATTAAGTGATTTCTTTATCTGCAACAAGAAGAATTTCCACTTTGTGGAGAGTGCATGTCATGGAACATGCCTTCTAGTGCACATTGATCAAATTCAGAATGACATTTCACCAATTAAAGGCTGCCATTTGCACTGTTATCCTATACTATAGTATACAACTCAAAGAGGATGTAGGATAGAAAATGTTTCTTTCATAAATTATATTTTGCCAACCAAAAGGATCTCATACCTCTTTTTAAAAAATAAGTAGCCCTTGTAACACAAGCCACAATGGTGCCAAAGTCTAGAGTCTTGCAACCACAATGTCAAACTCCTTCTGAGGGGTGGGGAGCTTTTCTCTCAGAGGAGATGAGACTGTGAGTTTGATACCTCTATGATCTATCTCATTTGCATGTTTATCTGCATACATGTAGTAAACTTTTCATGGGTAGACTTGCAGATCCATAAGAGGATTGGTCTTAATTTGTATTGCCATTATAGCAAAAAGGAAAGAAAGGAGAGAAGATGGGAAACAAAGAAAAGAAAGGAGACACTAGGATAAGTGACTTGAACGTTGCCTGTAAGAATACTGTATTTAGTATAAAAATAAATATATATAAACAAATCTATGAAATACTATAATCATTGAAATTTAAAGGATATGGTTAGTGTACAAAGCATCAGTTAGTTCTGTCATGCTAAGATGAAAGCAAATTGGAGTTCATTATTTAAAAGTTTACGTTAATTAAAAAAAAGAAAATGTTTATGGTGAAAAGGCTGTATTAGAACTTTCTATACCTTAGTGAAGTTTTGCCTCTGAGGTCTACTCCCTCAGTAATGCGATTACAATACAATTAGATGAGCATAATTATTTGGATATTCTAGGAACACATAGCTGGGATATCCAGCAAAGACTCCTAGAGAGAAAAAAATTTTGGAAAAGACCATAAGGACATGCAGGAAGAGTGCTGAGAGACAGCAAAAGTGTTCCAGGTAGAGGAAAAGGCTGCTCAATGTCTAGAAGTGAGAGATCTATTATGACTAGAGTATGAGGTGGGGGATGAGTGGAGGAGAAGGAAGAGAGAGAATGAGGAAGGAGAAAGTGTGGGAGAAGTTTTAGAGGAGACTCAGGCTCAAATAATAGCAGGCTCCAGGTTAAAGCATCTAACTTTATCCTAAAGACAAAAATAAGTCATTTACAAACATCTACGTGAAAAACTAAGAAGATCCACTTTGCATTTTGGATAGTCATTGAGCTACAGAGTGACCAATGCATCTCATGTCCCCCTTCAGGAATCCACATGTGCACTCCCGGTTTCAGGGTATATTGGCTTTCAAAACTTCACAGCTTAGTCCTTTAATGTGAATTTCCCCCAACCATAGGAAATCATAGGCCTTTAACAAGAGTGCACCCTCTCCCACAGAGCACCTAAGGCCATGGCTGACTGATGTGGCGAGACAAACGCCTGGAAGCCTGTTTCAATCTGAGACAAGCTTAGCTCCTAAACTCCCAGAAGGATGGACTGAGGTCTCTGCTGTAATCATGGCAGGTCACTTCTCCCACTGCCTAATTCTACTTATTATCTTACATAATTACGAATTTAGTAACTTCAAAAACACACACTTATGTCACAATGCTCAGGGGTCTGGAGTCTGGACACAGCTTCGCTGAGCCATCTGCTTGGGCTGCAATCAGTGTTGGTCCGATGGTATTCTCATCAAAATGCTGAACTAGGGATAAAACACACTCCCAGGATCACTCCAGATATTGATGGAATTAATTTCCATGTGAGTGAAGTGTCTTACTGACTGTTAGTTGGAGACCCTCCAACTAACCCTCTTATTTGCCTAGAAGCCACCAGTAATTTCTAGAGGCTCCTCAGAGTTCCTTCCAACTATAGGAAGTGAGAAGTCCAAACATGACCCTTTGATCAAGCAGCAAGGAGATTCTTCAAGACAAATCTGCTATCAAGAAGACTCAGATATAATATAAAGTAACTGCAGCTCCTTTACTGTATTTTATTCATACCCACAAGTTACAGGTCCCATCTGCACTCAATAAAAGATTGTAGGAAAGCAAAAACATAAGGAGATGGGAATGATGGTGGCAACCTTAGAGTCAAGTCTGTCTGCCACATTTGCCATCCTCACTTCCTACAGGTGTATCTCGTGAGAATATTCCCCAATAAAACTGCATCCAGCTACCCATGTTAGAATCTTTATCTAGAGAACACTTGAGCTAAGAGGGTGAGTTAGAGACTATTGCTGTAACCTGGACTAGGTGACTGCAGTGTGTGATTGTTAACTTTTGACTAATAAATGTATAATAATTATTAGGGTTTTGAATGATGCATGACATAGTAGCAAAATCAAGACTAAAAACTGCAAGGTATCTTCAAGCAAGGATACACACAACAAAATCATTCACTTCTCGGGTTATAAAACAGATTAAGTATAACTAATAGAATTTAAGCTTGCTACGCTCCAGAGAGAGAAAATAGATCTTAGACCACAATCATTTACACAATCAAAAAGAGATGATTATCACTTTATTAATACAGATTTAACTTTTACAAATCACAGATACAGTCCAAGAATAAAGCTGTTCTATTAGAAACTGATAGTGTGAAAATACATAAGCAATTGTTGGCAGAAAACCAGATCAAATTTCACCTTGTGTATCAACACTCCCCGTTTTATCCATTCCATTTACAAAACTTGATTTTTATTCTTGCTTACTTAGTCAGATACAGCGTGATACAAACAATATTCAGAAAGAATCCACTTTCATTTATGGGTATTATCCACAGGAAAAATATTTTCCTTAAGTTCTTAAATATATGTGTATATGTGTGTATGTGTATATATATTAAATTTTCAGTGACTTGACCTTAGTTATAGAAATGCCTAAATACTAGGACATTTCAAAATCAATAATTACAAGTAATATATGACTACACTTAATAGTCTGTGTTTTCAACAATATTTTAGAATATTCTTAGCCAACAACCTATGATTCCACTGGTTTTCATAAGTATGATTGATTTCCTTTCACTTGTATGCATTAAAATTTTCTTACAAAAGAAGAATGGTGAAACAACCTACATAATCTTCCCAAGATAATTTGTGATACTTAGCAGTTACACAGAAACAAGTGTTGAGTTTCTTGGAAAAGGAAAACCAGCAGCTCTTCAGAGAGGGGTGAGCCGCTCATCCTCTGTCACGAAAGCATCATTAATGTTCCCTCCCTTCATATCCAGGGGGTCGCAAGAGATGCCATTTTCAATTGTGGCTGTGTTTTCACACTTATCTTCGGTGTCATCCTCTTCAGATGACTCTCTATTCTTCCTAAAAGCACATAAAAATGACTGTGAGCAAAGAGGAGAATTCATAGTCTTCTGTATAGACATGAGCAAAGAAAAGGGAAGAGGAACCTTTTAATGATGAAATAATTGATGAAACTGAATATTTTCAAAAATATTTCACAGGTTGTAAAGCACTGATGAGGTGAAAAGATGCAATCAAGATAAGAAGTCAGAGATGATAATATACACCAATCAGAAGAATATATTTAATTTGGTATACTAAATATACATATGATATATATGAAAAATTCTGTGTCCTTTACCAACCACCCTACCCCCATCAAAACTTTTACCTGACTCTCAGGAGGGACTTGTCACAAAATCCAAATTTAAAGATATTTTTTGGAATAGCTAATATTGGCTCAACACAAATTAAGCAATGATGTTCTTAGAATTGGATGAAGAGATGTATGGGTGGATGGTTAGCTATACAGATAAATGGCCCGATCAATGAATAGAGATCAATGGCTGGTTTGTTGGATGATCAATCAATGATTAATGTATAGATTAATGGACTAATGCTATAGACATAACATAGCTGCCAAAGTAGGACCTTGAGTGGGATCTAGTAACTACATGGAAGAAAGGATGGAAGGAAGGAAGGAAGGAAGGAAGGAAGGAAGGAAGGAAGGAAGGAAGGAAGGAAGGAAGGACAGAAAGGTCATGAGAGAGAAAAGAATACTTTGGCAGGGATAATGCCCTAGTAGGAAGGTTTTCTGTAGTAACCTGTGCTTACACATTATCATCCAAAAATACATAACTCTTGCATATTCCCCCATCACTCCTCAGTGGCCTAGGATTGAATAATAATTATCTATAACAATAAATAGTTTGAAGAGTTAACTATTAACCTGAATCCTGTGTATATAAGTATGCAACCCAATATTACAAAAATCCTAATGAATGAAACATTCTGAAATAGGGGGAAATATAATAATAATCTTAGAAATAAGGATGGCCAATATACATTTTCCATTTTCTTCAGTTAAAGAACAGTTTCTGATGGAGTTAGAAGAAATACCACAGAAAGCTGAGACACACAGATCACTGCAGGTAATTCCTGCCCATATTCCTACCCTTAGTCACAGAGTAAAATAGTCTATCAGATATCACAATAGGATGAGGAAGAACTAAAAAAGAAAAGAACAAATGAATAAGTTTCTCCTTAAAATAAGGATTTTTTTCAACTAAAAATATTCCAAGGGAGGTCTCTATAGAAATTTATCAAACCTATATGAGCAGCAAATTAGGTATATATTGTTCTTTCAGTTGTTCAGACTTGGCATTTCCAGGCTTCACAAACTGCTGTGTTAGTTACTTGTGAGCTAGTGGATATGATAAGGGGCTCAAAGTTTATCTAACAGTAACACAGCCCTTTGCCACATTTCATGTGTGTACAGTAATAAACTGATTCACTGCATCTGCATTGCTCTAAGAACAATAAACCTTAACTATAATTTCTGGATCATTCTGATTTGGTGTTCTGCTTAAAACATTTTTTCATTTTCCTGAGAAATAAAACTGAGTTTTAATGACTTCACTTCCTGCAATGACAAATGGTTCATGAGGAAGATGGGGGTAAATGACTAGAGTATATGAAACCGCCTTCTAGGAGCCTTGGAAGTAAATAGGTTCATACATTTAGAAGGGCAAAAAGAGAAGGAAAGGTATCAGGTGGCCCTCAGAGCTAGGTTTGTTTAAGAATGGGACTTGCCTAAGATAAAGTGGCAGCTAAAGCCAGAAAGAACTTTCTATCCCACTCCAAGAAGATCAAGGTCCCAGAATAGCCAAAAAGACAATGACATACAAATATGATTTTAAAACAGGACAAAATCAATTACGGGAGAGTTGGTACTATCCTAACAATCATTACATATAATTTTAGGGAATTATACTGTGACTGGAGTTATTTCAGTGGACATTATAACACTGAGATTCATGGTCTTTAGAATCAAATCCATTTGGATCCGTGTGTACTAGTACCATACCTTTCTAACCACGGACCACAGGCAGTCACTTTCTATCTGCCATGTGATAGTAATAACAAATAAGATCTATTACAGGCATAAACAAAACTAGATGTCTTGTGTAAATCATTTCATCCCCAAATGTTACTCATACTTTATTATTATGCCTGATTTTCAAACAGAGAGGCTCAGTCTCAAATATGTTGCCTGACTTTTCTTTCAAAATGGAATAAGAAGTGAAAGGAGTTGATCTAGAATATTTTACCCTCAGGCATCACTCAAAATACATATTAAGTATGTACGTTTAAGAACAGTAAAGAAAAACAATTATAAGTTATATTTCTGATTTCATTTACACTTCTATTTTAAAGATTGCATTTAATTAAGATTTTAAATTAATATTTCTTAAGAATGTGACACCTCAGTACAGTAAATGTGGGCTGAGTGTTAAAAACAGAAGTTGTAGAACTCCAAATATATTTCTGTTTACTTATGGGAATACAAATACAACCAGAAATAAAGCAAATAGATTTACTTATGACTCTGCTCAATTTTGAATATTAGCTAGGATGTTATGCCTTAAGTCTTTGACATGATTTTGTACCAATCTTGTAGGTAAAGGACCTTGTAGGTAAAGATCATTCCATTATATCTCTTCCAAGATTTGTACTATAATTCCTATAACAAAATACATGAATTGTAAGGAAATTAGTTATTTTCAACCTCTCTAGGTCTTGAGTGATGACTTAAGATCATCTTTAAGGTAACTTTCTAAGACCCTAACATTATTAACATTATAACAGTCTACTAAACACTGTATTCATAAAACAATTCTACTATGTATTGTTTTATTCTACTATGAAAACAATTCTAAGTCTGATATTGTACTATATCTGTGAATCTCCTTTCATAGCATTTTTAAGTCCCAGGTTATATTTAATCATCCTTTGTAGATACGTTTTGATAGTGACGCTAGTAACTTACACTAACAAAGCACTTTACCGTGTATAAATTACTTGTGTGTATTCTGTAGTTTTCTCCTTCTCATCACTAAAACTATTTAAGAAAATATTGTTATCCTCATTTTCCATACATGTAACTTGCTCAAGGACACTCACTAATAAATGCCAGCAGCAGACCACCAGACCAAGAGGATTGGTCAAGTACTCTATCTACTAAAACACACATTATCAAGGTCATCATCATTGCCATTATCGCATAACCAGCACCATTTTAGCCATCATCATCAGTATCCACCATCACTATCATCATCATGACTACCATCAACCATCAACACTAGCATACTAGTCCTGACCAGAGAACTGAAACTTCTGTGCTGAGGCCAGACAAATATGGAATACACATCATCGTGGAGTATGTTCAGTTGACCTGAGTTGCCATCCACCTATCCAGTTCTCTAACTACTGCCTCAAGTTTTTTTTTTTTTTTTTTTTTTTTTTTTTTTTTTTTTTTTCTTTTTGGGTCACACACACCCAGCAATGCTCAGGGCTTACTCCTGGCTCATGCACTCAGGAATTTCTCCTGGCGGTGCTCGGGGGACCATATAGGATGCTGGGAATCAAACCCGTGTCGGCCATGTTGACTGCGTGCAAGGCAAACGCTCTACCCATTGTGCTATCGCTCTAGCCCCTCAAAGTTTTTTAAAAAAGATTTTTCCAGCAATTTTCTTTCAACACATCTCTCATTTTCACAAAATGCTATTCTCAACAAACGTGGTAATAGATAAGCAACCTCATCAGATTATTTCACAAGAAGGTAGTAGTTACTTCAGTAGTGGTGTGCTAAAGCTAGCCTCTACAGGCTTGCAAGAGCTTACTTAAATATTCAAAAATTCCTATACTTAATATAAAACCAGAAAATGCTATAAATAAAACTTTAGAACTGACTAGCTCAATGTTACAATAACCAATAAACTTCATATGATTATTTACCTTTTTAAATAGGTTGTATTAATAAAATTCCAAGCAATGAGCCCTTGAACTGGATAGTTTTATATAATATAGTAATGATATAGCACTGTCCTCTGTTGTTCATTGATTTGCTCAAGTGGGCACCAGTAACGTCTCCATTGTGAGACTTGTTGTTACTGTTTTGGGCATATCAAATACATCACGGGTAGCTTGCCAGGCTATGTGTTTATCAAATCCTGCGGGCGGAATACTCTCGGTAGCTTGCTGAGCTCTCCGAAAGGGGTGGAGGAATCGAACCCGTGTCAGCCGTGTGCAAGGCAACCACCCTACCCGCTATACTGTTGCTCCAGCATATGATGATATATGTATATAAAAGATATCCTTTCCCAACAGTACCTAAGTGCAGGAATAGGTTAAACTGATCTTGGGTATTATTTACCTTTTATTTGAAGCATACCATACCTAGGTACTTTATATACATGCATCTCATCTGATCCTCATGGAAACAGAGGATATATAATCTATAATCTATTATAGATGGGAAAGCAGATCCATGAAAATTAGATTGACCAAGTTTATCCAGCTAAAAGGTACAGCTAGCATTTGAGTTTACCTAGTTTGGGCTCCAGGTGATGTCTGGAGGACCATGCAACACCAGAGATAAAACCTAGGGCTCCTGCATGCAAAATATTTGCTCTAGTCAATTGAAATATTTCCCTGGTCCCTTAACATTAAGTTTTAATTGCATACTTAAACAGCATTGCCATTCTGCTTCTATTTTAATAGAAGTAGTATGGTGATCGCTTCTAGGCTTCTAACTTTAATATTTTGTACCATACACGCTATGTTCATTATTATCTAATGTATGGATTAGATTGTCAAATATTTCTTTGACTATTATTCTCAAGTCTAAAGGGATTTTAGAGCAACTCCTATCTTGTCTAGAATTAGAAAGGGCCTTCACCACAATAAAGTGCTCTGTGCACCTCAGACCACACTCTTTCCTCACCTTTAAAATAGCACTTTGCTAAACAAAACCCTTCCCAGATTGCATCAAACTTAAAACACAACAAATCTATTTATCTTCAGAGAATTGTCATAATTTTCCTGACAATATTTGCTAATTATACTCTCCAAGCTTACACAAGAGATCAGCCAATCTGTTTTCCTAATTTGAACATGAAATGAATTTGTGAATTCAAGGTTGTGACAACCTCACTTCTCCTAGGCAACAGATTATGATGCCACACACCCAATTACTGTATTACTTTAGAACTTGCTCAGAAGGAAAGAGCTAGCTGATCCCAGCACAAATTGGAAGACCATCAAATGGCAGGATAATAAAATAATCGTAACAGCTAACAGTTATCGAGTACTCTCCGTATGCCAGGCACCACTCTAAGCAGACTACTGTATTAACCCTTTCTATCCCAATGAGTTCATTGTTTTTTTTTCAGTCAATCACTTGATCAACCATATTCTCCCAAGTTTGGTTTCCCTGGTGATTCATTCCTATGCTTCCTAATATCTATGAGATCAGAATCTAGAAGTCAAATACTTTGGATATACGCATCTTGCTCAGAGTCCATTTTCTAGATTCAGTCACTGTATCATATTAATGAGAAAATAAATAGAATCACAGCATTTTAAGATCAACACAAAACTTTAAAATACTGAATCTAGGGGCCTGAGCAATAGTACAGTGGGTAGGGGGTAGGGTGTTTGCCTTGCATGCAGCCGACCTGGGTTCAATCCCCGGCACCCCATATGGTCCCCGAGCACCGCCAGTAGTAATTCCTGAGTGCAGAGTCAGGAGTAACCCCTGAGCATTACTGGGTATGACCCAAAAAAGAAAAAAAATCGAATCTAGCCATTTCAAATATTATAAGATCACATTCCTTAATAGTTTTAACAAAGTAACTTGTACCAAGTCTCTTTGCATTACATGTCATCTGATGAATGCACCAATGAAATACATCAAGAAAAACAAGCAAGTACACGGTTTAATTTGGGACTAGACATAAATCACATTCAGTTTATGGAATTTCACCTTCCATTTGTGAAAAAAATGATAAAGCTTGGTATTTAAAATGATTACTTTCTGGGGACAGGAGCTAGCTCAGTGGAGATTGCCTGCCTGCATTGCAGGTATAAACTTGCAAGTTCCATTCCCAACATTGCCTCATACACCAATCCTGGTGCAATTCTGGTGCCACTGGTGTTTGTTATCCCCAATCCCACACTGAAATGTACAATCTCCAGTGCACAACTACCAAGTGTGTGTGAGCACAGTAAAAGTGTGTGTCCCCAGTGGGCACCACAAATAAATATGTGAGCCACACAACAAAATGTGGGACCCCAGTGAGCACCACAATCAAAAGTGTACAACCCACATCATTGTAACAACAAAGAAGAAAAGTATTTAAATAACATTAAATATTTAATTTACATATTGAAAACAAAGTTATTACTTCATGTACAGGATAAAACACAGTGTAAATAGGTAAACCTCAAGAGCAGATTTCAGTTGAATGCAAACACATCCATTTGTGCTTTTGAAAACCAATGCATGTTCCCAAGATTCCCACTACTAGAATTACTCTTCCTTAGTATCAAAAAGAAAGGTTTGGAGACATCAAAGTGGCTAATGAAGAGTCAAGGATTTTCTCAATTTTCCCTCTGGATGAAAGGATTTAAAAACAAAATCATTTTCTCCTTTCATCAAGCTGAAAAGTCCTGTCTCCTCTTCTGCCCTTGGGAACCTTCCCACTGCCATGAAATTTTCTCTCATGATAATAGCAGTAATTTAGACACTGACGCCTGCAGGTGTTTTCAGAATCTAGGTAAGTGAACACAGGAGTGAGAATTCATATATGGCAGGCTCTGAAATTAACAGAATTATAAAACTTGGATATTTGTTTAAATGCATCTCCTTCAAAGTCTAACAGGATCTGTGGGAAGTCAAGGATTTTAAACAAATATTTCAGGCGAGTGATGCCGAAGAGCTGGTTCAAAGGCCACTTCAAGGAACAGTTGTGTATGATATTACAGGCAATAAAAATGAGTGAGTATACATAAAACAGCATGAACATATATAGGAGAAGATTGCAGTACAGGGCCAAGAAAATGCAGGCTCAGGTAGGAGACATTTGAAGAACTGTGAAATTACTGCTATTTAGAGTTGAATGACTACAAAATATTAACTACTTACTCAAAAAAATGCTTACCTCTGTACGTTCAGCTTAAAAAATCCTAACACGGGTATTAAATTAAATTCTGGATATAAAACATTTAGATGATATAGAATACAGATATAGCAACAGAAGAACCACAGTTAAACAAGGGACGCTGGAATCCAAAGGGCACCTAGAAAACTAGTATTTTGAAAATCACCCAGTTTTTTGGTAAAAGTTTTAGATTTTCTTCAGCTAGGGAGAAATTTAGAATACCTTTCTAAGTCATGAGGAAATTGGATAATGTTCTTTAATTCAGTTGCTTTAAATATCTTACCTTCTGCGTTGCTGGATTCCTAATATAACCAATAGCACAATGGCAATTGTAACGATGCAAAATACCACACCAAATACAATAATCCAGACAGGCACAGATGGCTCAACAGGTGGTGCAAGAGTGGAAGGAATTTTTAAAAATTCCAGAGTCTGGTCATTCAAAAGGAAGGCATTGTTGATCCGGTTCCTATTCAGGCTAAAATATAATGATAATAAAAAACAATACAAAAAAACATTAAAAACAGAAGGTGCAACCCTATCCTCCCATGATTAAAAGGCCCTCCCGTTGATCGTCGATTTGCTCGAGCGGGCCCAGTAACGTCTCCATTGGAGACTTTGTTGTTACTGTGTTTGGCATATCGAATACTCTCGGTAGCTTGCCGGGCTCTCCGAGAGGGGCGGAGGAATCGAACTCGGGTTGGCCATGTTGGCCGCTTGTAAGGCGAACGCCCTACCGCTGTGCTATCCTCCCATGATTATAATGATTATTTATTTATTTATTTATTTATTGCTTTTTTTGGGTCACACCCGGCGATGTACAGGAGTTACACCTGGTTCATGCACTCAGGAATTACTCTTGGTGGTGCTCAGGGGACCATATGGGATGCTGGGAATCAAACCTAGGTCATCTGCATGCAAGGCAAATGCCCTACCCGCTGTGCTATTGCCCCAGCCCCTATAGTGATTTTTAAAGAGCTCCTCCTCCTAGCAAGAAACTTCAGGTTGATTGGAAAGTTTGAAGAGGGCAATCATATTGTGGTTTTCTTTTGGGAAAATGCAGCGTTGGCTGCCAGAGAGATGACTGCCAATCAATGCATTACTCTGTTGTTGCTGGGGACACAGAGTAAAATTTAAAAAAATACCAAGGACCTTCCAGTCTTTAAGGAGGGCAGATCAGTATTCCACGATCACAGAATGAATGAACATGCCAAATGTTCCATGAAAGAATCTGGGTAGAATGGCAATAATATGTCGGGGCTGTTTTCCTAAGAAAAAACTCTTTAGATTTTTTTGGATGATAAGCAGTTTTTTAGACCAAGGTGTATAGTAAGCACAGGAATGGAGATGTAGTATGGAATAGTATGATCTGTTCTGAGATCTATAAAATATTCTATATGATCAAATTAAGCTTGATGGTGGTAGTAGGGAGGATTTAGTAGCAAAGTTATGTTTGACTGAAATCAAAGAAGTGAATTTCTTTTTTTAATTGAATCGCCTTGAGAAACAGTTACAAAGCTTTCGTGTTTGAGTTTCAGTCATACAATGATCAAACACCCATTCCTCCACTAATGTACATTTTCCACCACCAATGTTCCCAGTATCCCCCTCCCTTTCCAATCCTCCCCTTGCCTCTATGGCAGACAATTTTACCCATACTCTCTCTCTCTTTACTTTTGAGTCTTATGGTTTGTAATATAGATACTGAGAGGCTATCACAATTTGTCCTTTGAGCACACATCTCCCATCCTGAATGATTCCTCCAACCATCACTGACTTAGTGATCCCTTCTCTATTCCAGATGCCTTTTCCCCCAGCTCATGAGGCCGGCTTCCAACTATGAAGCAATATTCCTGGCCCTTGTGTCTACTGTCCTTGGGTGTTAGTCTCATATTATGTTATTTTATATTCCACAAATGAGTGCAGTCATTCTGTCTGTCCTTCTCTTTCTAACTCATTTCACTTTGCAAGATACTCTTCATGACCATCCACTTATAAGTAAAATTCATGACTTCATCTTTCCTAACAGCTGCATAGTATTCCATTCTAATGGAATTCTAATTCTAATTCCCTTCTAATTGGAATTTTTTAATGAGGTGAGGAAATCCTGTGGAGAAATCAGATAGACTTTATTAATACATATGTGGCTTTTGTTTGTCTGCTTGGGGGTCACACCCAGCTGTGTTCAGAGCTTACTCCTGGCTCTGGGATCAATCCTGGCTCTGTGCTCAGGATCACTCATGGTGGGGCTCAGGAGACCATATGGGGTGCCGGGATTGAACCCAGGTCAGCCACAAAAAAGGCAAGCACCTTACCCACTGTAAACTATCACCAGACCCAGACATTTTGTTGCTGCTGTGTTTTTGTTGTTTGGGCCACACCCAGCTTGGGGCTTCCACCTGGCTCTGCACTCAGGGATTACTGCTGGGGATGCTCAGGGGACAGATGGCCTTTATTGAAAGCACAGTAGGCAAAGAGGCTTCATCTGCCTATAGAGTAGCACCGGAAAACAGAACTAATCATAACATGAGCCTCCTGGGTGACTTTTCATTTTTAGGAGCTGCACTAAAAAAAGTTAAAAGAAACAAATGAAACAGGTTTGAAAATGTATTATTTTGCCGAGTAATCCAAGAGGAAAAAATTTCTACATGAAATCAATATTGAGTTGGTTCATTTTTATTTTGTATTGAGTCTTTGAAATACAGCATGTACTTTACACTCGGAAAATAAATGGTTTGGGACTACCATATTTCAAGAGCTTTTCTAAAGTCACATGTGACTGGTAGATTTGTATTGGACAGCACAGACATATAGTCTTATGGCAACAGATCGAGAAGCTGAGAAGACCAGCACCCAGTTATTAGAAAAGATCTCTAGAAAATAAATATCAACGCTGAAGAATGATTATTTATAAATGCCCAACCACACAGACTTTCAGTCTTGAAATTCTTATGACTTAACTTCTATCTGCTGCCCCCTTTCTTTTCACTCTATCCTTACCTCTTGGTATTGATTCTTTCATTGCAACTATTTGTAATTGTACAATTATTTTCTTTATCCTGTTGAGTCCACCCATTAATTCCCTGACATAAATTCTCATTATCTTGGTCATCCTCATCCCTAAGTATTTTCTCCTATTAAGAACTTTGAAATAGATATTTTGTGGTGAACATACTCATCTACATCCTCGACCTTCACCCCAAAGACTCTTCTCAACAGTTGTTGCTTCAGCAAGAGAAATGGATGATTATTCACACAAAAACCTTTGGCATTTGATCATATACTCATTATCTTAAATGTTAATAATTTACAGAGAGCAAATGAGTTTTCAGCAGATATTGCTCTTGGGTAAAGAGAATAACATGTATTTCAGGAACTTGTAAATCCTTTGTTTCATTTTTAATTGAACTTGCTCTTCCAATATGCCTTTGCCCAACATCAATCATGTGTTGGGTTTAAAGTTGTGACACACATGAAGTGCACACTCATCGAAACAGAAACAATTTGCATCTTCTGTGTCTTTGATGTAAACAGTCCATTTTGCTTCTAAAAGTTTGTTATGATCACAATAAAATAAACTGACAAAAAAACTTTGTAAAGCTTTAAGTGGAAAAAATATTACTGATAGTCCAGAAAGTACACCATTTTGGACAATTGTCAACTTATATGGTCTCTGAGTTATTTTACAGATCTGTAGGCTGTAGAAAACATAATATAAATGATTCCTGTATATAAAAAAATAAGTGAATTATGCTTGACGGAACACAATTGAGTATCACCCAGGGGGTATTTTTTCATAAATGAATATCATCATTCCTTTTGTTTTATTTTTGGAGGTCACACCTGGAAGTTCTTGAAGCTACTCTCTCTTCAGTGCTTGGAGATCCATGTAGTGCTTGGGACTAAATATGGACCTCCTACATGTAAAGCATGTGCCCCGTCCCTTTGAGTCGTCTTTCTGGCCCAAATTCCTCAATTCTTATATATGCATGGTTCCTTTAAATCTCCTGTACAGGAGTTAGACTCTTACTGGTTACCTCAATAATTTAAAATTAAATATTTTATAACATTTATTGTTAATGTTAAAATAGAGTAATGCCTTTAAAATAGAGTAATATCTTTTAAAGATTTAAAACTATAGATTGGGATTGGATGTTTTTTTCTTGTAGGGCAATGAAATAAACAGAAACTTTCTCAAAGAAAACATTTGAATGGCCAAAATGCACATAAAAAGAGGCTCTTCATCACTAATCATCAGGGAGATGCAGATCAAAACAACAATGAGACATCATCTCACACCACAGAGACTGGCACTCATCCAAAAGAACAAAAGCAACCGGTGTTGGTGTGGATGTGCGAAGAAAGGATTCACCTTCATTGTTGGTGGGTATGCCAGGCTTTTTTTTTTGGAAAACAATATGACGTTTCTAAAAAAAAAACTGGAAATTGAGCTCCTATTTGGCCCAATAATATCACTTCTGGGAATATACCAGGGTGGGGGGGGGGGGGGAACACACAGCAGAAACACTATCTGTGTTCACTGCAGCACTATTCACCATGGTCAGAATCTGAAAACAACCTGAGTACCCAAGAACAGACAAATGGATAAAGAAACTCGCACATCTGTGCAATGGAATACTACGCGGCTGTTAGGAAAACATGAAGTCATGAAATCTGCCTAAAACTGGATGGAAATGGAGCATATCATGCTGAGTGAAATGAATCAGGAGAAGAGGGACATAAAATATAGAAAGTTATAGATATGACTGCATTCATTTGTGGAATATAAAAATATATAGTAGAAGAAGAATATCCATGGCCAGGGAAAACAGGGGTTAGGAGGACTGGTCAATAGTTGGAACTAACCACAAGTTGTGTGGGGGGCTGAGGGTAGGTAAGATATAGAAGAGACCAGTATTACAGTAATAGCTGGGAATCATCACTCTCGACAAGGTCTGAGGATTAAAAGTAGGTAAAGGGATTTTCTTGATAACCTTTTAGTATCAATATTGCAAACCACAATGTACAAAAGAGGAGAGCAAGTGAGCGAGCAAGCAAATGTGCAAGCAAAAGAGAGAAAGAAAGAGAGAAGAAAAGTGACTGCCATAGAGGCAGGCAGGTGGTCGTTGGGGGTGAGGGCTGACGGTAGGGAAACTGGGGATACTAGTGCTCGGAAATGTACACTGGTGGAGAGGTGGTTGTTAGAAAACTATATAACTGAAATCCAATCATAAATAGCTTGTAAGGATCTTTCTCAGTGATTCAATAAAATAGGTTAAAAATAACTATAGATTGACTAAAGACGGTAAGTCCTTAGAAGCCCAAGAAATTGGAATACTTTTTTCAGTCTTTAAATAAATGTAAAAGGTATGACTTTACTCTCAAATACTTTACTTTTTAATTTTTTTTTTACTTTTTGAGTCACTCCTGGGGTGCTCAGGGTTACTCCTGGATCTGCACTCAGGAATCATTCCTGGCAGTGCTCAAGGGATAGAACCTGGGTCAGCCTCACTCGAGGTAAACACCCTCCCTGCTGTACTATCTCTCCAGCCCCAATACTTTATGTTTATTAACTCAATTAATCTTCTCAACAACTCAGAAAGGAGTAGCATGATTATTCCTATTTTTACAGGTGGTAAAAGTAACAGAAAAGAAGTTCATTTTTCGTCTCTTGAAATAGCATGAGGCAATAGAATTAAAACCCAAAGCCTCTTACTCCGGAATTCATGTGCTGAATGGTCATACAATAGTGTCATGATGGGTATCTTGAAGATCACAGTAAACACACTTGGCAAAACTTAAATCCATATTTTTCAAATATAGCACAATTGACATTTGGAATACTTCAGTTCTTTGTTCTGAGGTGCTGTTCTGTGCTGTGTAGGATCCCCAACTTCTGCCTACTCAATATTGATGACAAACCTCCGCTTAGTTGTGACAATAAAAATGTCCCCAAATATTAGCAAATGTCTCTTTGGGGGCAAAATTGCACCTGGATTGTAAATCACCGATCTTCACTAATCTCCAATGCAAACTAACAAAATAACTTCTTGAACATCTTAAGTGAATTACTGTCAAGTGGAAATAGAATTCTTCAAAATCTTTTGAAACACTTTAATTGATCAACAAGTGATTTACTAGCAGAAGTAATATTTAGCATTTACCTTATGGCTTTCTGTACTTCAACAGCAGGAAGAGTGTGATTTTCCATAGGGTCTTTAACCACAAACCAGAATGACACCCGCTGGGTTACATTGCACAAAAGGACCTGGGAAATACTGCAGATGATGACAAGGAAAAAATACATTATAAGAAAACATCAAATGGCATTAGACTTCAGTGTTATTATCATCTTAAGAGGGACAATGTAAAGATGTGGTATATATGCAAAATGGAATACTATTTGCCTATAATAAAGATTAAATTCTCCCATTTGCAACAACATGGATAGACCTAGCGAGGATTATGCAAAGTGAAATAAGACAGAGAAAGGCAACACACTGTGTGCTCTTACTAATTTTTGGTTCTCAGGGAAAACAAACAGATGAACTAAATAAAGTAATAATAAATTTTTGAACTATATAAAACCAATTACTTGAAGGGAAGGGGGAAGGAGAGAATAAATAGGGATGAAGAGGTCACACGTGTTTATTTTCAATAATGTACACCTGAAACTTACAAAGTGTTACAGTGCATTGTTATTGCAAATTAATAAATCAGAATTTTAGCTACATGTGAGAAATTATTGTGGGTCATTTCTTAAGTAAGAAATCTACCAAAATGACTCAATGAGACAATGGAGTACATTAGGACCTCTTCTGCTCTGACCTATTAGCTGAGACCACACTGCTTGTTCTCTCTGTGAACCACAAAATTCTGTTCTCCTTTATCAAGCACTTTAATGTGTTTCTTACTCAGCCTTACACCTCTCAGATCCATACAAGTCTTTTGTGCACTCTTGATCCAATTGTTGTTATTAGCCAGCACCTACAATTTTGGGGTACCAGTGCGGTAACAAACCTCCAAATAAAATATCATGCTAAATTTATCAGTAGTCTTTTGATACTCGTTGCAGTCAAGAAATGTGTCTCATTCAACTCTTTATACTTAGATTGCCAATAGAATGACAAGGAAGAAATGGTATAGTGCTCTGCAGTAAACACAATATAGCACTGTAGCACCATAGCACTGTTGTCCTGTTGTTCATCAATTTGCTCGAGCGGGCACCAGTAACGTCTCCATTGTGAGACTTGTTATTTTTTTATTTAATTTTTATTAGTGAAACACCATGAGGTACAGTTGTAGACTTACAAATTTTTGTGCTTGGGTTTCAGTTATACAATGATTGTGTACCCATCCCTCCACCAGTGCCCATTCTTCACCACCACTAATCCCAGTATCCCTCCCACCCACCCCCATCCCCCCCATCCTACCCTGCCTCTGTGGAAGGGCATTTCCTTTTGTTCTCTCTCTCCATTTGGATGCTGTGGTTTTCAAAAGAGGAACTGAGTGGCAATCATGTTCGGTCTATAGTCTACTTTCAGCATGCATCTCCCATCCTGGGAGGATCCTCCCAACACCCTTTATTTGGTGCTCCCTTCTCTATCTGAGCTGCCTTTTCCCCTCGCATGTGCGGCTGGCCTCCACGCCATGGAGTGAACCTCCTGGTACTTATCTCAGCTATTCTTGGGTGTTAGTCTCCTATTTTGTTACTTTATGTTCCCCAGATGAATGCAATCTTTCTATGTCTGTCCTTCTCTTTCTGACTCATTTCACTTAGCATACTTTCCATGTAGTACCACTAGTATGTAAATTTCATGACTTGGTCTTTTCTAACAGCTACATAGTACTCTATTGTATAGATGTACCAACGTTTCTTTAACCAGTCATCTGTTCTCAGGCATTCAGGTTTTGTCCAGATTCTGGCTATTGTAAACAGTGCTGCAATGAGTTGTTACTGCTTTTGGCATATCGAACACACCACGGGGAGCTTGCCAGGCTCTGCCATGCGAAACACAATATAACTATTAATAAAGGAACACTGGAAATTATAGGAGACTATGAAATAAACATTGGTGGTGCTAAAACACACAGAGTGAAGGCCTTTCACTATTTCCATAAGAACAAAACTGACAAAAGTTATATAATAATAATTCTTAAAAACTTGAAAACACATCCCCTTTGCCTAACAAAATGAATGCATTATGCATTTCTGTACACAGGACACAGACCTTTGTTTTGACAATAGAGAAAGAGAACTCCTTCAGACCATTATCTGTCATTCTTCAGGACTAGTGAAATCTTCTACTTTTCCCCTTTAAATGTCGAGTTCTAAGGCCCTGCACATAGAACTCTGTGCCTGAAATCACAGAGGGCCATAGCATTCTCTGTTCCCTTGTTGCCAGGGAGCTAGGGACTCAGAGGACTTTTGGGTCTCCCATCCTCTGGCCTGCTGCATTGGGGACCCCTGCCAGGAGAGCTAAGACTTGCATGCTGCACCTGGGCCAACAAGCTGTCTTGGCCACCCACCGTCACCTGTCACTGTAACCATTTCTGCAACACCTGGGAGTGTGCACAGCAGACTGCGATCATGGGCAGCTATCCTTAGCAGACAGTTGGGCAGTACCTCAACAGGTACACAAATGCCACCAAGAGCGCACCGCTACCCCTGAGCCAGCAGTACTAATCCGTTCAGACCAGATCCACATTTTTACCCTTTAGCCCCAGAGTAGTGTCTAGCCTTCCCCAGGAGCCTGCAACTCAAGAGTTCAGATCCACCCACCCCCAACCCTCCATCCCATAGAATGTAGCCTCAGCCACAATAGAAGGCAGTGGAACCCCTTATTTGGCCAGCCTTTCCTCCACACCTCCCTGGGGAAGGATGGCACTGGAAAACTCCAGCATGTCCTGAAGCCTGGGCTGGGGCTGTATGCTGCCACCCATATCCCAGACCCTGGCCACCCAGAGGACTGCTCCTCCTATTCGCAGAGATACATCCAGTGAAGACACCATCTGCCCAGAGCACCAGAAAAATCTGTGCCAAGGAAAATGAACATAAGGTCATTGATATTAATTGAAAAGAAAAAGGAAGTTCACAGGACACAGAAGGATTTAAAGTACAGAGGACGGGAAACAACCTCTGAATTCTGAGTCCTAACCATCTGAGTTCCAACTAGCAGTGAAAAATGAGGATGTCCCAAAGGTGTTTCCCAGGCCAGGCCTCTAAAGACCACCAGTTTTAATAGTACTGCCTGATAAGAGACATGGGCCAGCCCTCATGCTGACATAGCCCAGGACATTGTCACAGGACAAGGAGTTCAAGGAGTATCTGATCTCCTTGAACCTTGACTCTACAAGTACACAGAATGCTGACACCTACCTAGCATTTGAGCAGCCAGAAAAGGGTGTGCCAAGACCCCACACCCTCATCTCCATCCTCTTTGAGAGCAGATTAAGACCTAGTGTGGATGTCACCTCCTAGGACTTGTACTGCACACTGCACCCCACTTTCTGGGACATCAAATAAAGGCATCAAGTTGTTCTAAAAATAGAATTGACCCTGTTGTCATCTTATTTCTTCAATATGCTTTTGCTGGATGGAGTATATGATTTGTTTTTCTTCACTTTGGTACAATTAACATTTAGAGCCAGATTTTCCTGACTGTGATGACCTCAGCTTTTGGATTTTAGGAGAATGCATGGAGAATCATTGAAGAACAGTGACCTCTACTGGCAGAAACCATCAAGCTTGGTCTCCCAAACCCTGGTGCATTTTGGGCAAAACCCTGGTGCATTTTGGGCAAAAACATTTCCCCCAGGATTTGTAAGATGTTGTGAGTTGGGAAATACTTGTGATACTTGTGATAACTAGGAAATGCATTTGGAGAGGACTGTCGGGGCGAGGGGCCACTTCTAGCGATACTTGACCAACAAGGAGACAGAGCTCAATGCTTGGGTCAGGATACAACACCACTTGGGCCCATGGTATTGGGGGCCAACAAAGACCACAGATGGCCTTGCAAGGGGCTCTAGGTCCATATTCTTGGGTTCCGGAAAATGCATGGTGCCAGGGACTGAATATAGGGAAGAGAGCATAGGAGTATACCCCTGGTCTCTAAGTTATGAACCCAGCCCAGAAAACACAATATAAAAATTAATCTACTTCTTGAAAACTCCAGTTGGCAATAATTAAAATTAAAACACGCTAGATGGAATTTAGAGAAACATAGTCCCAGGCTGTGCTGTGTATCTGGGGTACCAATGAGCCCAGAAACTGTGGGATAGCATTTAGAGTTTCCTAGCACAGAGCAGAGTATGTTCCCCCTACACACACACACACACACACACACACACACACACACACACACACGCACACGCACACACACACTCACATGCACACATTCTTCGAGCACTCTGTCAGAATAGCAAACAAGCTACATGTCTATCAAGAGCCAAAAACATCAGGCAAACGTGGTATGTTCAGAAAGGAACTGTGTCCCAAACTTTAAAGCGAAAAAGGCTGCTCAGTGATGAGGATCCTGTGCAAGTTTTCTCTGTGAAGGAATGGCTGGGAGGATTTTAAACAGCTTCCATGGCAACTGCTCTGGATCTGACAACGAATGGGTCTCTAAATGCTGCCAAAAAACCCCTCCAGGACAAGATCAATGCAAGGTGCTCACGCCTCACCCTGAGCCACAAAAGAGTATTCCAGAGTCAGGATGGGAAGAGGATTGTCTGTGAAGCAGGTAGCACTGTGAGAATTAAACTAATAGTGAGGAATATTTCTGGAATCACAGAGGAAACCAGAAATCAGGTAGGAACTCATTTGGACATTTCATCAAAAACTGCTTTCAATAGCGTTCTCACCAATTTCATGGCTCTCCCCTTTAGAAAGTCAGAGAGGATGCTGACACTAAAGTAACATCCCTTCTCCCACTCAGTTACTTCCTAAGAGGGGAGGCAGGAGATAAAGTGGGAAATGGCCACTCCACCAACTGGGAAAAATGCTCCAAGGGAAACTGATGCCAGAGCAGGAGGGCGAGAGTAAATTCACTGGCATAATGGTGGCCCCGAACCCTGGCCTGTCCCCATCACAGTGGAACCACACTCACTCTTCTATGAACGCAAATTCTCTACATGCAATCAGTGTTGCAACTGTGTGGGAATGTATGTTTAATAGACTATTAAGCCATTTAGATAAAGTTTCTAACTACTCAGAAATACAGAATTCAATGGGTGTCAAGTTGGTGCTGAATAATGAAACCCTCTTCACCATGGA